TTTTTTTTTTTCAAAAATATTACAAAAAAATAAAAATAGGGTTTTTTAACAAACAACCAAAAAAATTTTTAGCACATATAAAAAATATTTGAATTTTATCAAGTAAAGTAAACCAAGTAAAGTAAAACCATTGTTCGGTTAGTCCTTCAGAAAGTAAAGTATAATTGAGATCTGTTATTCAAAAATATTATGCAAAATAAATTTGCTTCTTGGAAAGGTATTTGTATTGAAAAGTTATGGTTGTTGTGAGCAATAAAATTGCTTAAATATGAAAGCCTGTTTCTACAGGAAAAACTTGTTTCGGAAAAGATACTGGAAGTATGACAAAACAGATTGAATGTGGTGAATCATTTAATGGAAGGTTTATTTTGTTAAAGACATTACATTTTCAACAGCAGTTTGTTATCTGGCCACAGCCTTTTGTCATCTGTCAAAAAACGAGTAGTAGAACCATTAAGCTCTTAGTCACCGTAAATCTAGATCAGTCGTAATGTTCACTAAACAGTTATAGCATAGAACTTATTTCACTGTACCAACATGGTCCGCTGAAGTGCAGCGATCGGTAAACCCTAAGTTTAATGACTCCATTGGCTTAATTTCTTTTATGACCTTTCACTATCTGACGTTAAGTTATAAAGCGTGAACAGAAGTACTTTTTTTGTAACGTCACTCTGATTTCAATTGTTCAGTTTTTGCCTACGTTATCATATGAGACTAAATTTCATCTAGAAATGATGTTAGTAAAACTAAAATTCACCATTTTTTTATTACAAAAAAAAAAAAAACTGCTGTTTGGAACAAGGACTAATATGAAAAAAAGTTATTTTATCAAGATCTCAAAAGAGTTACATTCTAAGCAAAAATATACTTTTTTTTTGTTATTATTGTTGAAAACTACAGTAGAAGAGCTGGAGCGCTAGACTGTACAATTGTCTTCTTCAAAATTTTTATCAAGATACTGTCCGATACCATCATTTAGAAAACATTCAAAAAATCATAGTCATGAAGAACCACAAGAAGATGTTTACAACAGAACCGGTCTTTCATTGAAAAACATTTTTAAACCTATATATTCACACAAATTATGCAAATCAGCCATAAGAATTATCGCTTTTATTTGACAAGAGCTGTTGACTGCTGCAAAGAGCAAAAATCAAATTTGACTCCTTTTTACTGAAAAAAAATGGTGAAAAACAAAAGAACAATTCAGTGACAAACCATAACCAATGCCAGTGTTTCTACTCAAAAAAAAAGTTGGAGAGACATGAGTCGATTTTCAGCCTTTAAACAATTTCCAAATTCGCTTATTATAATTACACCAAAAGTAATTACTTCCAACAGCGTACTAACAACAGATGTAGACAAATTACATAAAATCATTCAATAAATTGTCAAAAATTACACTTTCCTAAAAGAGTTGTATTAAAAAATAAATTAGCTATCAGAAAACCAATGCTTGAATACTTTTAAAAATTACCTGCGGTACTCAACAGCATTTACATTTCATTTTGCACCTAAATATAAAACAGACAATAACTAATCCGATTTTTTTTCATTTATATCCTCCAATAGTCAAGGAAAATGACACATTTTTCTAAGGTGAAGACAGAAGGATGTTCGATCGCTGCTGGACACAATAGATGTGCGAAAATTCTTTTCTTTTCCTCTTTTTAACTGGTTCTTTCCTCTGACGCCAGAACGTAACTTTAGACTCCAGAGCGCAATATTTGCCTGTGCGAGGTCATAAATGCTGTGCTTGTTCAGGAAACAAAACTAGTTCTGCATAATGACAGAACTCAAATAGAAAACTATTAAAAAATTTAAAATGCACTCATACCTGGAAACTACTACTCCAAATTACTAAAACTTGATACCCATAAAGTTTAATGATGTGGTTTATATCGTAACAGCACCGACGAACTGATTTGAATGTGAGGTCCGTCTCAAAGCAAATGAACTTCAAACCGTTAGTCTATGTCAGGCCTTGCCAAAGTAACTATGGTAACTGCTCCAAATTTCTCAACCTTGTTTGCAGTCACATCTTTACTGTGGTGACAAAGCCAAGATTTAAAGAAAAAAGGCAAAAGTAGAATTTAAAGCAAAAACAAAAAAAAAAATAGAAGCAGAAATTTTTTAAGAAATTGATCTCATATTCAGCCAAAAAAATTATAAATATAATTCCACTATATTTCAGCAAGTTTCAATAATCGCTATTACTTCATGCAGTACACTTTAAAATACTTTTAAAAAATATTTCTTTTATTGAGCAATTTGAGAAATATTAGTTACCATTTTTAAAGCTATACATCAAACTAACTTCAAGCCTAAAAGAACAGAGCAGTTAAGAGCAATAAGTAGCAAATTTAGTAAACAGAAATCCAATGTAGAAATAGATTTAACCTTCCAAACATATAAAGAATTTTATATTGATACAACAGAAAATATGATTAAACAACTAAAATTAAAAACAATGAGAGGCTTCATAAAAGCTTAAAATAAACAAGGTCATAATATCATTTAAAAGGCACTTACACAACGATTATAAGTAACACCTATTTCTTTAATGCCTCTTCTATATGTTTTTGTATATTTGCAAATGCATCACGGCCAAGATAGTCCGGATGACCGATTTCCCAAGCCTTTAATCTTTCTTCTTCAGTAGGTGGAGTAATTTCTTCTTCACTTCCCACAGCATATAACTGAAAAGAAAAACTGTCACAAATCCTATTCAGTAGCCTACAGAAAATTTCAAATAAACTAGACTTTAAATAAATTTAAAATAGTATCGTTAGGAGAATCGTAAGCTTGAATACTGTTGCTACCACTGCCCTACAAAGAAGTAATACATATTTCTTAAGTGAGAATAGGTATTCGAATAAGACATAATACATCAACAGTTCAGCTGATTAATATCTAACATCAAGGAGATATGTCGGTCTTCCAAAGACTCAAATAATGAAACATAGCATCAATAATACACGTCACGAACGTTGGCTCAGAGTGCAAATTTAAAACAAAAGAACTAAAGTTTCAACCATAAATGTTAGCGTAATACCCAAAATAAATAAATCAATAAATTAATAAATTAATAAATAATAAATAATAAGAAAATAAAAACAAATAACAAATTTTTCTAAACACATTAATGCTTACAGATCCCAGTGGACGACATTCTTCTCCGGCACGGGAGGCCTTAACAAAAAATGATTAAGTTAGTACACATAAATAAAAAAAAAATAAAATAAAGTTAAATACAAATATAAAAGAATGCGTTTTGGTATAACTAGTTTCCCAAAAAAAGTTTTTTTTTTTTAAAAAAAAACATTTCGCAAGTAAAAAAAAACTATGTGCTTGAAAGTGAGTGAAAAAAGACGACCAAAGTGGAACAAGAAAAAATTGAACATTGCAAACAGAACTACCCCTACTGCGCGCATAGATGGGCAAGCAAATTCCAGACCACGCTACTGTTAAAAAATTGAGTGCTTCCCTGCAGGTGGAAAAAATTCAAATCACTTATCCGACAAGTTGGCCGGTGTTAGTTGTATGGTGGAAAGCAAGAAAAAGCATGCAAAAAATAATGTGTAGAATTAGAGCGTCAGTAATGAAAAATGTTGAGGGACACTCACGGGCGAAAAAGCTTTCATTTTGTCGGCGACATGCTTTGGTATATGTCGGAGCGGTTTCCAACTTTGGTAATAAGGTGGATCAACACGATAAACACGCGTGCACGGCGGAGGTTTAGAAAAAACGTGGTCTGGTTGTTGACGTTGAATCACATCTGCATCTAGACCACGACGCGGCTCAGACTCTTCTGTGGTATTTCCTGATGCACTTGATTCAACAACACTATCAACCAGCTGATTCTCTTGCATCACAACAACAACATTATTCGTTACATCAGAGTTCATCGAACAAACTTCTGAACTTGCAACATTCTCGGGAAGCAAACAAGGTTTGGTAAAACTAGGTGAAACAGGAGTGGAAGAAGAAGAAAGGTGTGTGCAAGATGGTAACGTTTCAGATGCACATTGCTGAACTGAGCACTCTGAGCACCACCACCAACTCACGTTTGAAGACGGCAAGTTTGGTACAACGTGCGTGCTAAACAGATGCCACCAGTAGGCGAGATGCTCTGAAAAGTGAACACCGCCAGCTCTCAACTGCCATGGTTTTTGAGCGCCAAGGAAGTGTACGATTTTCACCTAGAACAAATTATTTAACGATTTTTAGGACAGCGATGATCGACTCAATAAAAAGCATACTCTGATTGAGTAAATAAAGATAGCAAACAAACCTGTGAACCAAAACGTTTGTATGCAGCAGCGTACGTGTAAATAGCCCCAGAGGTCATATTATAGATAAAAGGGAGACGGAAAGCTGCTGGTTTGTCCCTCCAGTCATGGAAAAACAAATTCAGTAATCCTTGGTCTCCACCTAAAATGAATATCTGTTACTGAGAAGAACATACAATTTAAGTACACTCTCTTAATAAAATTCCCGTTGTTGACAATTACGAATCAGAGGAAAACGAACCGTCAAATGAACCGCATTCAAGTGCAAAATCTAAAATTTTCTTGTAAGTTTCCTCTGAGGGGGCATACACAAAAACACCAGAATTGAAGCAGTCTGGCCATCCAATATCTGGAGCAGCACTAAATTCTTCTCTTTCAAATAATTCGTCGCAGTTTTGTAAAGCCTAAAAAATGTACAAGTTTTTGGTGATTACTGAACTTTTTTTTGGTGAAAG